GGCGTCTCGGCATCCACGGCAGTCTCTTTGGCTTCCACAGTAACTTTAGTAGTCGTGACGTCTTTTGCCTATGCAGATTCAGCAAACTCCATGACCCCTTCCACGTCTACAGAGTCCTTTGTCTCTGCAACTTCCATCGCCGGAGTGGTAAGTTTCATCGCTTTTTTTCTTGTGGCCTTCTTTTGCTTACCTTCCACTCCAGTTCGGGATGTACTTCCACAATTCAGGATGTCCATGGGTCAGGGACCCCGTTCCATACTCCAAATCTGGCTCTCCAGTCAGGGCAGCTGCGGATGCCACTCGAAATTTCAGGATGCATCGTCACACGTGGCGTCTTTCAGCCCATTCCGACCATCTTGCTCTTCGGCCGTCATTTTGAAGAATGAGCTTTGTGATGGCTGTCGGCCACTCGTTTGGTGGGTGCCAAGTTCAGTCTTTACACTCTTCAATCTCATCCTTAGTTTTGAATACCTAAACCTGTGCATTTGACCTTTCATGGAAAAATATTAACTTGAACCATGTATACTTATCTCTGAGATTTGGGGGTACACAAAATACAAGTTTAATTTTTCTTATGTTGGAGGTCCAACATAACATAGATGCTGCGAAAATAAAAAATTGAATTAGGGTATACACCTTCTATGTTGGGTTATCCAACATGCGGGAACTAAGGGGTTAAGATACCAGCTGGAATACGCTTGGATCGATTCAACACGACAGCCAAGCTTCCAGGAGAAGAAATGGTACCGCTGGTGAAATCGCTAAGCGCTGACAAAAAGATTCAGCTTAAGGGATGTCCCCCGCGAACCGACAAAGAGCCTGCAGATACCAGCAGGACAGTGGATTGAGTTCCAGTTGCAGAAACGAAATCCATCGTTAGGAACTCACGACGTTTGGGTGCGGAGTACAGCCGCGCTGATTCCGACGATCATTCGGTTCAGAAAAGGACAACCGACTCTAGTTCGATTGACCAACATCACTGACAGGGTAGTGTACTGTCCTGCACACCTTGATGTGATAGCCTGGGTACCCCGAGGTTTTTGTCAAAACAAGCCGGCTACGTGTCGATTGACCCTCGGAAGTACGAGCAGTGACAGGTGTTGGTATGCTGGATCGCATGACGAAACTTGGTTCAAGCTTGAGTGTGAGCTGATCGCATGACGAAACTTGGTTCAAGCTTGAGTGTGAGCTGCACGAGCGGTGACCGGCATCACAGCCACCCTTGGTCGAACGACAGCCCTACACATGGCCGACTAGAATATTGCAGAAACTCGACGAGTACTCAAGCAATGGTGACGATTCACAATCACCAGACGAACAATGGAGCCTGTGGAGCGTTGACAGTGCGCCCGACGGCTTGCCAGTTGGCGATGATCCGGTTAGCGCTGCAGTTGCATCGGGATCTTGAACCCCGTGCTCTAACTAAGTGTTTGTCATTGATCGTAGTTGCAATGATTCACCGACTGAAACTCACAGCGATGAGAAATCGCCTAATGCGGCCGCCGCCGATCTGCAGCATACATTCATGTATGTTATGCACGTACTGTCCACAGAGGGCAACGACGATCCGGCTGACGACGTCTAAGCCGTGCACGAAGCAAACTACATCTCGCTGGAGGACTATGCCCAAGAATTGGCATTCTTGCCTGCCTCGATAGAGCCCTCTGTCACAGAGCATGATTATACCACTCCGAATGTGAAGAACCCGAGTTTCGTCGGCGATCAACAACGACGACTCGATGATGTGCTTAAAAAGCAGGAGGCAATCATGATTTCGAGCGGCAATGCACTACCGCCTCCTGCGTATGGTTTGGTATGCGACATCGACGTCCAAGGGCATCCACCAATCAAACAAAGAGCGAGGCGGATTACGCTGAGGCACTTGCAGAAGCTCTACGAGCTACTCAAATGACTGCTTAAGGCTGGCCTTATTGCGTTCTCGGACAGTCCATGGGCGTCACCCATCGTGCTTGTACTGAAAAAGAATGGCCAAGATATTCGACTATGCATCGATTACAAGATGGTCAATGCAGTCACAGAAATAATGGAGTACGTCATGCCTCTGGTCGACGACCTGTTGACCGAGCTGGAGAATTACCTGTGGTTCTGTTCGTTGGATGCCGCAAGTGGGTTTTGGGCAATCATGATGACGATGTGTGTGCGCAAGATTTCAGCGTTCGTTTGTGCGTTAGGGCACTTTGAGTGGCTCCGAATGCCATTCGGACTGAAGAATGATCCCATGATCTACTAAAAGATGATCGATAATGCGCTATGGGGCTTTGTACAGCCTAAAGGTGGATGTGAGTGGTATGCTGAACGAATGAAACTCGCTGAAGAAGCAGCTAAACACCAACGACTACTCGACGATGACTCAGATTTTACCCTGACGACGACTCGGACCAAGTTTGAGGCTGATCGACAGGCGTCGTCGGTGCTGGATCCGGCGTTACGAATGGTGAACGATCCATACGCAGACATGGTTGCGACTAATGAACAGGACGAATCGTCGCTAGTCCCAGTGTTCGAGCGTCGATCCTTTGTAGATGACATTTGTTTCCGTGGTACTACATTTGGCAACTGCCTGGACACGCTAGACAAGTTGCTGGCGCGGTTTGAAGAATGGAGGATCAGTGCCAGCTTTACTAAAAGCATCTTTCGTTAGTACAAGGTTGGCTTCCTCTCTCACGAGGTGTAACCAGAAGGAATCCGGGCTGACCTCAGCCATTACCAAGTTACCGTTCCCTAAGTCGAAGAAAGGAATGCAATAGTTCCTAGGCTCACTCAACTATTACAGTCGCTTTATCCAAGCCTTCGCAGTCTATGGAGCCGCGCTATATCAGTTGAAGGAAGACAATTTCTCCGAAGAGGTGACTTGGCTGCGACCGAAGCGAGTTTTGCTACGCTCCAACGAAAGGTAGCTGATGCTCCTATCGTACGACATTTCGATGCGAAGAAGGAGGTGCATATCATGCTGTACGCCAATGAGTGGGCGTTAAGTGCAACCTTGATGCAGATGCACGACGACAAACTACATCCAGCCCGCTTTTGCGGACGAGTCATCAAGGATGCCGAGATGAACTATCGCTCGGTAGAGAAGGAAGCCCTAGCTTTGTTGCTGTTGCTCAAGGTTTGTTACATCCAGTTGGCGGAAAAAGACACTGCATGTGTACATCCGATTCTCTACATATGGATGGGTTCACAAATCTAAGTCGCTTTTCGGGCGAGCAGTGCAGTTTGCGGTGCTGCTGTCACCATGGCAATTGGAAGTGCAGCCAGTTCGAGAGAAGGACTGCGTATTCACTCAATTGCTACAGTTAACGATCACTAACTTCGTGGACCTGGACGACTCGCTATCACTAGTGACACCGCCTACTAAAGGTTCACCGAGTACTCGGTTGGACCCAAGTCTACTCTACGCTCAGCTACCCCATGACTATGAAGGGTTTGTAGTCTCATTGGATGGCTCCGCTAAGACAGAGAAGAATGGTGGCTACGGTAGCTGCTTAAGGATAGTGTGGAAGCTTCCAGAGTGGCAGATAGTGATCGCTGCGAGTGCCTACCTCGAGCAAACTACAGTGAATATGGCTGAGTACAGTAGCATGAACCATGGGGTAATAGCAGCCCTAGAACATGGTGCTAAGGACTTAGTCATCGTTGGAGATTCGAGGTTGGCAATCCAGCAATTACTAGGGGTGATCGCATGTCGGAAGGATTCGTTGATGACACTCCTGAACCGCCATCGAGAACTCGTTGCTAAGCTCAAGTCAGTCCGATATCTGCACGTGGTGCGTGAGTACAACACCGTGGCTGACTCGCTCGCTGGTGAGGCATTGGAGTCGAATGTGTCAAAAGTGGTGCCCAACGACCACCGTAAACGGAGCTCAAGGAGCTAAGTATAATCCAAGAAATGATTTATGAGCCGTCTTCAGACGACATCAAGGTCGAAAACACGAGTTCCGAAACTTTTGTTCAAAATCTAGACGGGAAAACACGTCACATTCACGCTATTGACAGCGACATCCTGGTACAACGCAAGACCTTTGCTGACTTTGCGAACTCGAAGTTAGACCAAGACCAAGAAGAAAAGAGTGCACTTTGAGGACGAAGTTCCTGAAGGAACGGTTAACGCTGAGGCAACAGAGGCGGTCAACTAGATCTCAGAAACGCACGTACAACGACCAAGTGCTAAAATCCAACACGAACCAACAGCCGATGACATTGACCTGGTTACAGTTCAAGAAGAGTGAAGACGCCGTACCGCCAAGGCCCAGGACGAAGAGCTGAGGTGGTCGAACCTGAAAGCCGTCCTGAGAGGAGAAACCACAGCGATGACTTACAAAGAGGCTCGAGAAGCCTGGAAGTGGGCAGACAACGTCGTGCTGTCAAGTGACAACGTCCTGTACTACACGGGTGTGAGCAGAAGAAAGGTCGATGAAGCCCAGCCCGAGATGTCGCTGAGACTTGTGGTGCCAATCACAATGATTCAAGAGGTGCTGCCCAACTTTCATGACTCCATTGAAGGAGGGCACCAAGGTGTCGTTCGCTCTTACCAAAGAGTGAAACACGACTACTACTGGATCGGTCTCTACACAGAGGTGGAGAAACATGTGAATTCATGTCTCGACTACAGCTCGAGTAAGAGTTTACGGCAGTTCAAAAGATACTCACTTGGCAATGTGCTCGCAGAGCGACCATTCCAGATGATGTTAATGGATTTTGTGATCCCTCTGCCGAAATCTTGTCGATAGAACACTGTCCTCTTGTTATGGCAGTGCTCGTTTACTGGGTTTGTGATAGCTAAAGCGATGTCGGATACCGATGTCCTGACCGTGGCCAAGGTGTTCGAGGAATGCATCTATAGACGATTTGGTGTTTCGTCTCTCATTCGTCACGACCGAGACCCACGCTTCATGAGCGAGGTCTTCCAGGC